AATTTTACATATTTTAAAATGTCATTTATTCCTGAATTTTCAACAGAAACATCAAGACACATTTCTTCTTATTATTAACAATGTCGAAAACAGTTGTTTTATCTTTGATTAATAGAAAGTTTGAAAGAACAGCATTTCATTTGAAAAAAAACCCCTTTTCTAACACTAGAAACGTCTTTCCTGACACTTTTGATCAATTTAATGCATCCTAGCTAAATAAAAGTTCTAATTTCTTAAAAAAAAAAATTTACTGACCCCAAACCTTTGATCGTGTATGTATCAAAGACTTAAAGGGGTCATATGATGCTGCTAAAAAGAACATTATTTTGTGTATTTGGTGTAATGAAATGTGTTATGTTGCACCAAGAGCTTGTAACACTCCAAAGAGAAAGGAAAAATTGAAATCGCATCATATGACCCCTTTAACTCACCAAATTTTACAGTAGCTCAGACATTGACTACAATGGACAATGCTGTCTTTGTCTTACTAACATAATAGTTTGTAGGAATTTTAATGGATGCCATGGCAGAACAATCATGCCTGCGAAACATACTTGCCATTCAGGAGTCTCCAGCGGATGGGACAGCGCCCCTGCTGGCAAGGGAACAAATCCAACATGTTCCCTGAAGGCTCCTGGTGCAGGTGGTCTCAGGGTCACCAGCACGGCCGGGAACATGTATCTGTCCAGATAATGCTGGTACAGGGGAAGAGGCATTGCCAACATATCTGCTGGATAAACTTGCCCTGGAACTGCCTCTTTAATTATGTACTCTCCAGGAAAAGGTGGTGCATCTGTGGATATATACAGTATTATACAATATTCAGTAACACTTTCTAATAAAAAGATTGAGAAATTACATAATGTTTAAAAGATAACCGTTATTATATTTCTTACAGTGTAAATGTGTTTTAACACGTGACATAAATAATGTTGTTGCATGAGTTCACTTCTAAATGAACTCATTTCATGCAAATGAAAAATATTTTGCATGACCAGAGAAATTAAACGGGTCAGACTATACAGCTAATTGCATTTTTGATAAATGACAAAGTTTAAAATAGTCAATACATGTTTTATTGTGTTAATGTGTTAATATATCAGCATGTACAAATTAGTGTTTCAAGAACAGATTATTGTGCTGATAGTAGTAAAATCTATTTATTGAATGTGTTAAAAATGATTCCTTTCTGTGACTGGCGACCGAGAGAGAAGCCGCAAGGATTTAACTACGTTGATTTAAATGCCGTTTATTGTTTATTAAGTTTATTGTTGCCACGTTTTAAATATAATTTATTGTTTTACTAAAAATAATAATGTTTAACAATAATGTCCAGAAAGGTATGTTTTATTTACATTTTTAATCATAAACCAGCCCGAAATACACCAGGACTCTTATTTTGAAATGTTTATGCTTTACTAAGTTACTTCCAGCGGCTTTTTCGAAAAAGAACCGGCCAAGCAGCTTCATATTAATAATAAAACCATTTCGAAGATTAGGGAGATAGATTATAACAACCATCTACAACTTGCTATATAAATAAATACTTAATAGTAAATATGAAGTAAACATTGTCATAGAAACCCCGAGCCTGTGGAGCGCAACAGTTTAGGTAACGTTAATTAATTACATCACTCTTAATGATAATAAAGACATTTGTTATACCATTTAATATATTTAAGAGTTTTATCACCTCATATTTATTCAAACTGAATTTATAAAACATTTAAGACATGTTACTCCCGCGAATCCCGATTTGGTTACAAAGTACTTAACCGAAGTACAAAGTACGTATTATTATTAATATTATTATTAAGTCCGTTCAAGCAGAAATGGTTTATTAAGGTAGAAATATAATTATTAAGGTAAAAACGCTTATAAAGTTATTTTCAGTAATGTTACAAAATGCATTTAAATGCCTCAGAAATGTCATTACCTCTTAAATCATTTTATTTTTATTAAATTTTGATTTTCTGTATCAATTGTATATGGAATGTAGAAAAACTACGTTAACGTTATACTGATCCATTTTCATTTATAGTCTATAATGATTGCTAATGACTTATTAAGCTATAATAAGAGTCCCTCCAAAAACATGTACGTTATATTAATGGTTACTAGTAAAGGTTGCCATTGAAACTAAATGATTACTGGTTAGAAAATAAGGTAAAAAAAAAAAGTATTTAGTGAAAAAAGCACAAACCTCCAACGGCGCAATTCTGCGCGCTCGGTCCCGCCGGTGTCTTCGGATCACAGTTAACTCTTCTTTATGCACCAAGAGCTTGTAACACTCCAAAGAGAAAGGAAAAATTGAAATCGCATCATATGACCCCTTTAACTCACCAAATTTTACAGTAGCTCAGACATTGACTACAATGGACAATGCTGTCTTTGTCTTACTAACATAATAGTTTGTAGGAATTTTAATGGATGCCATGGCAGAACAATCATGCCTGCGAAACATACTTGCCATTCAGGAGTCTCCAGCGGATGGGACAGCGCCCCTGCTGGCAAGGGAACAAATCCAACATGTTCCCTGAAGGCTCCTGGTGCAGGTGGTCTCAGGGTCACCAGCACGGCCGGGAACATGTATCTGTCCAGATAATGCTGGTACAGGGGAAGAGGCATTGCCAACATATCTGCTGGATAAACTTGCCCTGGAACTGCCTCTTTAATTATGTACTCTCCAGGAAAAGGTGGTGCATCTGTGGATATATACAGTATTATACAATATTCAGTAACACTTTCTAATAAAAAGATTGAGAAATTACATAATGTTTACCGCGCTAACGGGACCGCACGTGCTTACAGGCGGTCGGAGCTCGAGGTAGGCTGTGTCGTCAGCGGGCGCTTTAATAATAGTACTCTTCTTTCTCGCGCTGATGTCGGTTTCACCGTTTACCCCGTTAGTTGAATTATTGTTACCCGCGGAGACCGTTTTTCTGCTGGATAAAGCGGTCTGCTCGGGACGCTCGGTTCTGATCCGTCTTTGAGACGCGAGGATTCTCGTCCGCTCGTTGATGAGAGAGCACTTCCAGCACAAACACTGCTTGAACTGACATTTTCCCGAATGGCCTTTTAACTGCACGATGAAGCCGTGGTTCCGACACCTGGCGCACTTCGGGCTGCGCGCCGCTTTTTCAGCAGTTAGTCCATTATTTGCTGCCGCTGCTGGAATAGTTGCCATTGCCACGAAAATCCGCGAAATATCAGTATCAATGATAGTTTGAAATATCAAATTAATGTGTTACATTTGAATAAATTTCATGTGTGGGGTCAGTCCGCCAAATTCATGAAGAAAAAAAAAAAAGATTCACGTGATGCTGCCCCAGCAGCGTGAGAACAGACTGGCTCATTATGCATGTCTGCAAATTACAGACAGCGTAATTCCCCTAAAGCGGGAAATTCCCCAAGTTGAAACTATTCACATAAAACAAAACTTTTGACATGATTATTTTTTTAAACACATCAATGATTTTTTTTTAACACATAATGAATTTAGAGCTTGTAATTTTTATTTAATTTTAATTTTATATTAATGCTTTTATTTTATGAATAAAATAAGATTGATGTGGATTACAATTTGACATGTAACCCTTTATATATATATATATATATATATATATATATATATGACCTAATAACTTTAAATAATAACAAATTGTTGTGCATAAATAAAGAAGCTAAAACTGAAAGTTTGGAATAATAATGTTGTTGAAAAAAAGACTCTTATGCTCACCAAGTCTGCATTTATTTGATAACAAATGCAGTAAAACAAATATGGTGAAATATCACTGCAATTTAAGATAACTTTTTTTTCTTTCTTTTTCTTTCTTTCTTTTTTAAAATACATTTAAATTGTAGTCCTGTGATGTAAAGTATTTTCAGCATCATTACTGCAGTCTTCAGTGTCACATGATCCTTCAGAAATCATTCTAATATGATGATTTGGTGCTCAATTATTAATAATGGATTCTTATGAAACCTTATCTGTTGAAAACAGTTTTGCTGCTTAATATTTTTGCGGAAACCCTGATACATTTTCTTCAGGATTTTTTAATGAGTAGAAAGTTCATCGAACTGCATTTATTAGAAATATATTTTTTTGTAATATAATTAATATAATGTCTTTACTGTCACTTTTAATCAATCTAATGCATCCTTGATGAATTAAAGTATTGTTATTATTATTATTATTTTAATTGTACTAACCCCAAAGCTTTGACTGGTAGTGCATCATTTAAAAATATTAAGCAGCAAACACTGTTTTAAAACTGATAATAAGAAATGTTTCTTGAGCATCAAATCAGCATATTAGAATGATTTCTGAAGGATCATGTGACACTGAAGACTGGAGTAATGATGCTGACACATTCAGCTTTGCATCACAGGAATCAATTACATTCAAAATACATAAAAATGGAAAACACTTATTTAAAATTGGAACAATATTTCTGCTTTTACTGTTTTTTGATCAAATAAATGCAGATTAGCAAGAGACCATCAGAATGAGAGCTGGTTCAAAGTTAAAATGTTTTATGATGGATTTATTTAAACAAACACAAAGTTTTTCACTTCACAAGACATTAATTGATGGATTGGAGTGGTGTGGATTTCTTGTGGATTATTGTGGTGTTTTTATCAGCTGTTTGGACTCTCATTCTGACGGCACCCATTCACTGCAGAGCATCCATTGATGAGCAAGTGATGCAATGCTACATTTCCTCAAATCTGTTCAGAGGAAGAAACAGACTCATCTACATCTTGCATGGCCTGAGGGTGAGTAAATTAAAAAAAAAAAAGTTTATTTTCGGGTGAATTCCTTTAAAGCATCTGCTCAAACTCTTTAAAACATGTTCTAAACATTTTCTTTCAGTGGCAATTCAGTGGATCCCTGAAGGCGGATTGGCAGCCACCTGCTGCCTGTTTACATAATCTGGGTATATGCCAAGTTCATGACAATAGGGTCTTTGCCCCTGTAAATATTTCCTTTTGAATACCTTGTTGCCATTGGCTGTGTACATAGTTAAGCAGTTGGGGGAGGGGCTTCTTACTTCTTACAGTCCCATCTTACTGCTATTAAAATGACTGATTATCCTGTCAGGATAGCTCTGGCCTAGTTTTGACTGACAGAATAGTTCATGCTGGCACAGTGCCACAGATGCAGTACTATATTACTGTAACTCTTTTACAAGGTCACCTAACCCCATTATCTTAATAAGGATTATAATTAATGCAATTTCAAAACTGATCATCTCATGCTTTTTCTGCCTTCCCATATTGCTTCAGGGTGATACGTTTTTAAGGAAATGTGTGTGAACATCCCGGAGGGGTGGTGCAGGGTTCCATCAGATTTTAGGCTAAATTATCCATGCACTCAATATCTGTTTTCAATATATCTATTTGGAAATTCACAGGGAAATTGAATGAACTGTATTGTAAGTCACTTTAGCATATCAAATTAATAAATACAATGAAATTTACACACAAGTTGTGTGTAACACTGGAGTATGTTTTACAAGAAAAGACTATTTTTAGTCTATGTACTGTACTTCAAAATGTCATGCTTAGCCTACACTCTAAAAAATGCTGGGTTAAATATAACCCAGCGCTGGGTTAAAAAGGGACAAACCCAGCTATTGGGTTGTTTTGACCCAGCGGTTGGGTTGTTTTGAACCCAACCACTGGGTCAAAACAACCCAATAGCTGGGTCAAAACAACCCAACTGCTGGGTAAAAACAACCCAACTGCTGGGTCAAAACAACCCAACCGCTGGGTCAAAACAACCCAATAGCTGGGTCAAAACAACCCAACTGCTGGGTAAAAACAACCCAACTGCTGGGTCAAAACAACCCAACCGCTGGGTCAAAACAACCCAATAGCTGGGTCAAAACAACCCAACCGCTGGGTCAAAACAACCCAATAGCTGGGTCAAAACAACCCAACCGCTGGGTCAAAACAACCCAATAGCTGGGTCAAAACAACCCAACCGCTGGGTCAAAACAACCCAATAGCTGGGTCAAAACAACCCAACCGCTGGGTCAAAACAACCCAATAGCTGGGTCAAAACAACCCAACCGCTGGGTCAAAACAACCCAATAGCTTGGTCAAAACAACCCAATCGCTGGGTCAAAACAACCCAATAGCTGGGTTTGTCCCTTTTTACCCCAGTGCGGGGTTATATTTAACCCAGCATTTTTTAGAGTGTAATTCAATGTCTGTCTTGCCTTTTCTTCGTAAATAAGGGTGAAATTTATTAGCAATTTCTGAGTGAAAATTGTACACCACATTTTTAATCCAAATTCTAGGCCGATCACGAATAAATAAATATATCAAAGAAAAATAAATAATAATATTTATTCATATAAAATACATACTTACTAAATGAATAATTAAAACAAATAATTAATAATGGAGAATTTGTTTTAAATGCTATTTAATCCCTTGCAATATTAATAGTTCCACAATTATTGTATTGTTTTGACTCATTTTCTAGTAAAGGGTGTTTAGTAGCACGCTACCCTTCAGTGCAGTTATTATTCATACTCGCTTATGTTTGATGTCGTCATTGATTCAAATTGCCAGAGAATCTTTTGGAGATTCAGTGAAGCAGCGACGCCATCCGGACGCGCTTTTGTTTGTGGATGAACACTCTAACCCGTTTCCGAAATGTGGACAGAAATTGGGAAATTATTATTTTTTCATGTTTTAGTTTGGGAATTATACTCCGCAAAAGGTTTGTTGTATTCTGTTTTTGAAATGTAATTACCCGGAGCCTTTTTCAACGAACTGAATGAATGATGCTGTGTTGGATATTTCGTGGGTGCGAGAGACTAAACACTCCTGATCCTACAGACACACTGCAGCCTTGTGTTTCCACATTTCTGCCTTTAAACTCACAAAAAAAAAGCTAGTTTGTAACACGAGTAGAATATTAAAGGTGGACGATTTGGCAGCATATTCGTTTGTTGTTTCACGAGCATCACTATCCACAGAAACATTTTCGTCTGAAATAGCACTGAAAGAAAGAGAAAGATTTGTTTTCTTTGTCATGGCTTTATTGAATTGCGCGTGTAGTAATAGAATTGCTGCTCAAAGCACGCGGTGTGTTTGGATTCGCTCGGTTCGGTCCTGTGTTATTGTGCAGTAGTAACGTTAGATATACTGTGATGGTTGCAGGTTATCTGTCGTGGGCGACTGTAAATCTCTTCACTGTCGTTCACAGGTACTGAAACTGGCGCTGAGACGGAGTGCGAGGATGGACAGTTTCAGTGCAACAATAAGAGATGTATTCCCACCATATGGAGATGCGATGATGATGATGACTGCTCTGACAACAGCGATGAGGAGAACTGCCGTGAGTAGCCTTTACTGACACACATGTGAAAATAGCAGCCAGCAGCAGTGATATTAAGAGCAAACAAAAACCAGACCACATGCATCAGCATTTATTGGGTTTAATGACTTCTGAGACTTTTTTTTAAACAATAACTTCTCACTTTTTCTTTACTGACGTTTGTACTGTGCACTTGTAACAAATGACCAAAGAAGAAAAGCATCAAAACTAGAATCAAATTGTCAAACTCTTCGCTCCATTATTCTTTATAGAATAATTGTTGAATTTTGATTTTTTTGTTGTTGTTGTTGTTGTGCATATTAGAAACCTTTAATACATAAAAACTAACATAAACAAATGTTTGGGGCCAGTAAGATTTGTTAGTTTTTATTTGGTCAAAAATACAATAAAACAGTAATATTGTATTATTGCAATTTAAAGTAACCGTTTTCTATTTGAATATACTTTAAAATGTATTTTATGTGATGGCAAAGCTGAATTTTCAGCATCATTACACTAGTCTTCTGAACATTTCATATTATTATCACTACATTTTTCAGTAAAAGATCAGCGTTTAACATAATAAATACATTTAATATGTCCCTTCTAAATAAAAGTATTAATTTCTTTAAAAAAAATCTTACTGACCCCAGTTGTTTATATACATATATGTATATGACAACTAGACCAGATTAATGGAGAGTAACTGAAGAGTAACTGAAAGAATACCTGCAAATTTGAAATGTATTGCATATGATTTGACTGTTTTTGGAGCATAAACTATCAAAACAAAAACTGTGGAATTCATCCAGCCAGACATTCCCAGCATTCCATGCATTGTTCTCTCATTA